AAGTAACGTTTCCTTTTGAATATTCTAATGATCGATTTCGTATGAATATGGATATGGAGCAAATGAAGGGCGACTAAATTTTTCCTTTAACGGTTGAATTTTTGGGTCAATTGGTTTATTTAATATCTTGAAATCCTTTTTAAAATCTTTTTGCTTCTTTAATGTTTGAAATGGATATAATAAAGTGAATGATGAAGGATTAACTGAAGGAGGAGGCGGTACTGTCGTTGGAGGTTTTGGTGTTGCAGTGGTTTAATTTTATCTGCTTTGATTTTGGATTTCATTCCCCCTTCATTAATTCTGGATGTATTCTATTCATTTGTTTTAAATATGCTGTATATAAAGGTTTGATATACTTTCCCGCTTCGAGTTTATGTTGAAGGATGAATTCCAAAAGTTGATCTTCATTTAAAAGTCGGGCTGAATGTGGTTTAACTAATGAATCATAAATTAAAGCTTGTGCTTCATTTATGGTCTGAAGGACCTGGGCGTTTTGCACCTTTGTTTTTTGCGGCTCAGGATTATATAATTTATATAATTATATAATTCATCAATATCTTCTTCTGTTAATACTTTATTTTTGAAATCTTTCAATTGTTTAAGTTGCGATTTAGTTTTTCCCTTTGATATTCATTATTTTTAATTTTGTCTTTAATTTTAGAAATTATTTTATCATGATATTTCAAAATTTCATTTTTATAATATGGATAATAATATTCCATATCATCACCGTTATATTGTTATCATATTTTTGGAGATATGTTTTAAATCATAATAATCAAGAAAATTTTGATTAAATACTAAATCATCAATTAAATTTTTAAATCTGCGTATCATTTATATAAAAATAAAATAAATGTTTTAAGGGTGCCACCTCTTTGATCAAGAATCAAACCATCATTAACGGTTCCTTTTGTCTCTTCTGTGTCCATTTTAAAAATAAAATTTCAAATTGTATTAAATAAATGGCATACAACATCCATTTTCACAACATACAGCCTTAGTGTGTGCTCCTGTTAATGCAGTCTTACCGATTGTTAAGCGAGTCATTGACCCGTTTTTAAGTTGTAAATTAATATTCTGACCATCAAATATCACTTTATCATTTATTATATCCAAATAATTTTTAGGTGTTAATTGTTTATTTTGTCGTAAACTAACACCTTTCATTTTTTGTGCAATCTTTTTAAAATCACTTCCATCAATTGAACCGTTGAATGATGTATAACACTTAGGGCATAAAGCAACCATGTTATCACCTTGTTTCTCAATTGCTAAACCCAATAACTTCTTCTCATGTGCTTTTTCTTCAGCTTTATTCTTTAATTTAGGTTTAAATTTCTCATCAAAACAGAAGAAATCAAAAGGTGCGAATTTGAAAATGTTTTTATCATAAAATTGTTTATCGGTAACAATTGCTTGAAATGCTTGAGTGTTAGGAAGATTTGGGTCGCCAGCGATTGCCCAATAAGATGAATCAGTATCACCTTCAATGAAATGAAAACGATTAACATCATGCATTTATACATAAAATCATAAATGAAAACCAAATACCAGTATTTAGCATTATCTAAAGTGAAGAATGCCTCTTGTAAACATGTATCACATCTATAAAATCTATCTTTAAGCATCACTTGATATGTATCTTCACCTATTTCTCTTATGTTTTTAAACTTATTTGACATACATGCAACGCGTGCCTTCTGTGCATTCATTATTTTAGTCTTTGCGTAATTTTGTGTATTCATTGCATCGTAACCATATGATCCATTAAGTGAAATCTTGCAAAATAAACTTTTTCCTTTATTTCCTTCTAATTCAGCCTTTTGTCTTTCGTTCATAAATTTGTTCGCAAATTCATTAAAGCAAGTGTTTTTCGTAAATGTTAAAATTGATTGAATATCGATGATAAAATGAAATCTGTCTATTAGATACCAAAGATAATAAGAAGAAAATGGTTGATATTGGTTGTGTGTTGATGCTAACTGAGTTAATTTTCTCTGTTTCTGGTCAACTGGTAGATTGTTTGATTTCATGTAATTATACATAAAACTGCCAATTGTTTTTTCATCTGTGATAATATCTAAGTTTCTTATTATCGGTAAAAAGTTTATGTAATCATTAATGTATTTTTCATCAATGTGACCCTTTACTTCAGCCACGAATAAAGTATTTTTCTTCTTAATTATTCCCAGTGCTTTTGCTTTCTTTGTTGCTGTATCACAAATGATAACACCATTCAATCTTCCCGGCATATACATTTTATGGTCAGTATATTGAATGAAATCATGAGGATTAGATGAAAATGATGAAGGATATAATGAATTAAAATCAACACCAACGAAATGAGTCATAATGTTGGTGGTGTCCTCATTTGATACAGTTTTAGTTTCTGGATTATATGAAAGTTTATTAATGTGCGTGATTCCTTTAAGATTACTCTATGTTGAACATTTGATAGACCACCAGTAATTCCATTACGGAGAATGTGATAAGCTTCAACTGAATCTAAAGTCATTGGTAAATTATTTTTTAATGCATAATTTCTTAAATTGATTCTTAAACGTTGAACATCTTCATCTTTATTTGATTTTACGACATTGCAATAACAACACATTAACTGACAATTTTCTTTGGTATGTGGTTTTTCATTATCGATTCTATCCAATGTTGGTTTATTTGCATATGTAAACGCTTTACCACACATTTTGCATTTAGATGAAAGGATTAAATCGTGATAGTATTGAAAATCATCCATTGAAACATTGTTTTTAGTATCTCTTTCTGCTTTTTCATCTTGTTTCTTATATGATTCAATTTTATATTTCCAATACTTTTTCGTTAATTCAAAACTTGATTCTATCTCTTCTGGATATTTTTCATTAGGATTAAAGTCTTATATGCTAAAGCGTAACGAATCATTGAAGCATTCGATGATAAAGAAAGATTATGAAGCATGTCAATTTTATAAACAAATGTTTCTTCAATAATTTTATCAATTGGGTCAATCATAATTTCAACGTCTTTATTGCAATAATGAATAAAATATTCTAATCTATTCTCAAAATTTTTAGCATCATTGAGATATATTTGATAATCTGAATCGGATATTGTTTCTTGTGTTAATGCTGAATAAAATGAATCTTTCGTGAATGGTTCCTTTTTATATAATTCATCTTCGTAATTCTCCCATGTGATGAATTGATAAGGGAAAAAGGATTTAACACGTGATTTATTGTTTCCGAAATCTTGAGTGAATTGGTCTAATGTCCCACCCGCTATATAATTTCTGATGTCAATAAATCTCAATTCATATGGAACGTTTGTTTTCTTTACAATGATTTGCTTAAATTGTGAAGATGAACCCAGCATTGATTTTATTTTCCATTTTGCAGTGTTTAAATCACGAAGAATTAAATTTAAATCAAACTTTCCCGAATTAAAACCTATGATATTCACTTTATTAAATTCTTCATCTAAAAGCTCTTTAAATGCTTCCTTTTGTTCTCATTTAATGTATGAGACAAAGTCCCCACCGTTTGGTCGTTTGCGACTTCATTAATTCTTCATATTGTTCAATATTTGATTTAGCAACTAATGAACAGGTTGAAAATAAAAACTCAATCCAATCAGAAATAAAAGAATCACTCGAAGTTAAGCAAAAATTCCTCGTATATGTTTTATCATTTAATTTAACCGTTGATGATACCATGAATGGTTTTAAGTAAGCGTTCAAAGTTGCACATTCAGAAAGTTGTAATTCTTCTTTAGTCTCTAATGTTTCGAAGTCAAAAGTAATATAATATCTTGTCGGTTTATAATATTTCTGCAAATTATGTGCTAATAACCACTGATATATCTTCTGTTTCGTAATATGTGGTGCATATGGTTGCTGTGTCTTTTGCAACTGAACGTCTTGAATTAATCTCCCATTATTTTCTTTACATTTCTCACAATGTTTTAAAAATCTTCTTTGGTTTTTCCTTTCTGGATCATCACGGATAGAATATACTTCTTCTTTGCAAAAGGGGCAAACTTTATATCCTGTGAGTGCTTCAACGTCTGTAATTCTGTCAGCGTGAAGTTTTCCACATGGACTCTGTGTTAATAAAATATTTACTGTTTCAAATTCTGGATCTATCATTATTGATTCCACTAATGGAAAGTCTACCTTGTTAATGTCTACGTCTTCTGGTTGAGGGTCACAATAATAAAAATCAATATTAACATTTAACATTCTCGCTAATCTCTCACTTTCTGATGAAATGGCAAACCCTTCATATGAATCTATTGCTTCATTTAAATAGCTTCTACGAGTTTTAGGATTAACACCATCAAGAATGTTATAGAAGCGTTTAAATAACCTTCTACCTTCTGCTCTAATTTGATTATCATTCATTTTAGCTGTTCCATTTTTGTTCATTTATGTAAGAATAAAAATTAAAAAATAAAAATAAAGTTTATTTTTTTAAAGTCCGAGACTCAGAGAGTCCAGGGTTAAAGCCCATAAAATGAATTAAGAACACATAAATTTTTATCATCTGCGACGTGACGAATGCATTTTAATTTACTCAAGAATGCGTACCCTAATACATTAAATCTAATTCCTGTCTTATTTAATTTCACAACTTTGAAAAGGAATGTATGAATAGCTATAAAATGATGAGATGATGTTTTATGGGTTGCTTCCATTTTTTCTGAAATAAATGAATAAATATAATGTTTATAAGTTTTCATATCTTTTATGTTCTTAATAACGAATGGTATAGACCTTTCCACTTCGTCTTCCTTCGGTGCTGTTCTTTCATATGAAACATTATTGGTATCTTCAATAATGAAACCACAATCGCATAAAATTTTATATGTTCCAATGGTTTCTTTTGATATTTTATCTAATAAATCAAAAACTTTATCAACACCTGTACATTTATTTAAATAATAATTTGTGTAAATATCATGGTCTTCTTTCTTAATCGTATTTGTTGCATATGTTACATTTTTCAGTGCTTTTTTGAATTTTTCAGAATCAAGAGGAGGTGAAAGTAATATACATGGATAATCTCCATCGTCAATAAATTGTAACTTATGTTTATGAATAAATTTTGTGCCTTCTTCTGAAAGTGTTTCGTCAATATCACCATCTAATAAATTTTTAGTAGATTCCAAAAAGTAATTTTTATATCTTTCCTCATGTGATTTTTGAACTGCTGATTCTGAAGCTGGGATATTCATTAAACCCTCTACTTCATTCTCAGCATTTCTCAATTCACTAATTTTTTCATCTATTTCATTTCTTAATTGTTCCAATTTCTCAATCTCATCGTTATAATATTCATCTTGTTTGATTTTTTCTTCAAAATATTCAGGAGGTGTTTCAAGGCTCTCTGAGCCCAGGTCCTCTGGACCATAAAGAGGAATATTCTCCTGTTTTTCAACTTTTTTGGGATATAAATATCTCATTATAGCCTTTTTAGTAATTGGTCCGTTATATTTAAATTCATTCAACAATCTGGAAAACTCTTTCACATTCTGCATATATGTTGGATAAGAACCGTCTCCAAAATTTTCTAAAATATTTTCTAATTCTGAATTAGTGAACTTTAAAGATTTCAATGAATTAGTTGTTATACTCATTTATTATAAAATAAAAAATAAATTATTCAAAAATGTAAGACATGAATTTTTAAAGTTTATTTTTCATTCATGAAAATAATTATTTCTAATTTCTTTTACTCTCTCATACATACTAGATTTAAAGAATTCAGAACATTTCCCATAATCTCCAGTAGTAGGTATGACGGGTTTTGTGACTTTTTTTGTAAACGTAAGAATTCATACAATATCGAGCGATTTTGTATCATTTTTTTTAACATATGAAGTAAAAAATGTATGATTCTTACGGTTTTTATTCTTACGTTTTTGAATAAATCAAGATTTAAAAAATTTTCAAAATTGTAAGACATTTACACTCAACCCATACATAATGAAATAAAAAATAAATTTTTTTAAAAATTCATGTCTTACATTTTTGAATAATTTATTTTTTTAATTTGTATGAAAATGAGTGGATCAAGATTCGTAACCGTCAATCAATTAATGGATGCTCTTTCACCAATTCTTGAAAATGTTAAACAAGTAGATGTTTATTTCGATGATTATGTAGAAAGTTTATATTATAAAGGTAAGTTTAATATTAAACCTATTGCTTTTGCATTTGATAATAAATTAATTGAAAATGCAAAAATTTGGGAATTAATTCCAGATATTGAATATATAACAAATATTAATGATAAATGGTTTAAACGAATTCCAACCACAAAAGTTCTTTGTAAATTAATGATCAAAACTGAGGAAAAAGAATTTAACGGGTTTAAATATCATCCAAATAAAGTTTCAGAACTAGAAAATGAAAAACTTCAGAAAAAATTAAACGATAGACTTTCAAATGATCGTATTGAAAAAATAAATAAACTAGCAGAAGTTGCATTTAATAATGAAATATTTGATGAATATAACCTTGAACTCAGTGATGGGCTTTAAGGACCCGGGCTCAACGAGTCATGATTTATGAAATCAATAATTTGATTTATTCGCTCTTCAATAATTTCTATTCTTTTTGTTAAATCATCTATTTTCATTAATGAGGTGATTCTTGATTGGGGAATAGATTTCAAACTAACCACTCCTTTTATTTTTGAAATTTTGAATCCATCAACTTTAAACATTTTATTCAATTTACATGTTGTCAATTCTTCAAATAATTTTTTATTATTAGCATAATAGTCATTAAATTCTTCAACAGATGAAAAAATTTTTATTTCAGTAATTGGTTTAACAACGTTTATTTTTTGTTGAACATTTTCACTTTCATTTATTTCTTCCTCCTCTGTTTCATTTATTTTTAAAATCGGTTTCATTTATCATTAAATAAAAATTAGAATATAAGTGATGAAATATATTTTTTTAATTAATATTAAATCAGAAATGGCGGCAGGATTCTTTAAAAAATTATGGGATGGAATTAAGAAAGCTGCAGGTTGGGTTTATAAAAAGGTTATTAAACCTGTTGCAAACTTTTTGGCACCAGTAGCGAAAACGGCAGGAACTATCATAGGTGGAGTATTAGGTACTAAAGCAGGTAATCCGGCGATGGGAGCACAAGCAGGTAACGCAATTGGTGGAATTGCTGAAGGAATACTTAATAAAATAGGGGGTAAATAGTGGAAAAATAAATAAATATTATTTTTATCTTAGTATTGGTTGTAGTCTTTGATAAACTTTTTCTCCTTTATTTAAAATTTCTCTTATTGGGGCAGCTTTTGGTGTTATTGATTCAGCAATGTCACTAATTGCTTCTTTATTCTTAAATATCCAATTTGCTCCTTTCTTCATTGTTTCCCAAACTTTATGCGCTCCTCTTTTTACTTTATCCCACAGTTTCTTAAATATACCTGCAGCCATAGTTGATTATTTCATTAAAATTAAAAATTCATTTTCATATTTTAATTTTGATTTTTTATTTAATAATAAATGACGACTAACTATTTGGTGCCAAACACTAAACCAATTAATGGAAATGTATTTCATTCATTCGAAAAGATAAATGAAATATTCGCAAAGAATGACGGAAGAAGATATTATAGAGAACTTGAAAGTTCATGCTATGACTCTGATGCTCCATATTTTGATGATAAACAAACTCATTTAAGAATTACAAATCCGGCTCATGATGTGAACCAATTAGGTGACACATATATTAAACGCAAAGTTAAAGCAACTCTAGTTTCAAATAAAGCTTTCACATGTGATGCCGCTTTTAAATGTATGCGTTTATTCGTTGGTTACAAATCATCAAATCAAAGCTTTAAACAATTAGAAGTAGAAACCGAAAGAGGTGATGCCGGTTATCTTCAGATGGATTGCGCCCGTGAATCTTTCGCATTTGCAACATATAAACCAAAATCAGAAAGGAAAGTTAAAAAGTTTGTTCATTCGTTATATAATAATGTTCAAAATATGATAACTCAGTATGTGGTAAATATATTGACCCTTCAGAAGTTTTCAAGAAAGCAAATGAAGAAGTTGATATCACTTTTGATATGATTATTCCGGTAAATGATTTGTTAGCATTTCAGGCGTTCGATGATTATCCTAAATCATTTGGTGAAATCATTCTTAAATATTATGTTTTCAGGGATACTTTAGTATTTTGTCAGGTTGACCCGTTAAGAGTTGCTGATTTACAAAATTACGTTTATGAAAAGATAACTGATGAAAATTATGAAAAGATTATGAATCATGTTTATAAATATGATCGCAAATTCCAACAAATCGGACTTTCTACCAAATTAATTACAGGCTTAGCCACTACATCTGCTGACGCAACAGTTGATGATGTTATTATTTCATGCACAAAGATGGAAGTTTTAGAGGATAAATGTATTACACCAGGATACGGTTTAATTGAAGAATCAGTTAAAGCAATACCACGTTTATTCAGTAAGGAAGATCCATTCATGATTCCAGCTCAACATATTGACGTTCGTTCACTAAATGGAGGTTGCATCACTCCTGAAGGTATTAGCTCAGATTTCTCATACGCTCTTCATAATGTTACAGATGTTGTGTTAGCATTTCCGAAGAATGCAATGCAAAGAACAGTTTTAGAAAATCCAATGCTTCGAGGTCTTCAGGTCACTATAGATTCCAGAAACTTCCCCGATCAAGCGATGACCACAGTGGGTGACATATTCTTTACACGTATGCTTCAAGCTTCTGATTTAGATGGAGTGAATGAATGCACAGAAGAATACGAGGACTCATTAACTAGACCACTGAATGATGATGATGGCACACCATTAGCTAGAACATGGAAAGACCAAACTTCATTCTTATGCACTATTCCAGTTCAACGTGATGGAGCGGGTATATTCTTTGATGGATTAGAAACTTTCAACTCACAAGTTACAGTACAAGTGAAAGCTTATCCAATCATTCAGGGTGTAAATGACACTTACTGTTCAAAGGTGACAAATCCTCCTCAGGTTTGGTTTACTAGGACTACGTATTGGACATGGACACCGGATGAAGGTTTGAAATATCATCCAACAGGTACACCGCCACAGTATAGAAGTTCATATGATGAAATATTGATGAATAGAAATGTTAAAATTATAAATTTATTTTTGATTAAATGGATTTAAATTCTGAAGAATTAGCGGGAGTATATAATACATACGTAGATGATATGATTAATGAAGCATTGAGTGATAATAGAAATGCTCTATCTAAGGAAAAATTAATGAAAATTCCATATTCTGAATGTTACTTAAATTCAATCACTGCAGCAATTGGTAAACAGAATAAAGGTAAAACATTAACGATATTAAAACAAATTATCATTATTGCTAACACTTCCCCCATTCACATGTGTTAATTTATATCAACCGTTCAGGTTCACCTTCAGATGATACATTTGAATCTTTAAAGCATTTAATCAAAATTCCAATTATTTATTTATCACAAGAAGAAGCAGAAGATTATTTAAAAAACTTTTTAATGTATAAAGAATTATATAATACAATCAAGAAGCAAGGATTAGAGGATAAAATTATTGATAAACAACGGGATGAATTATTTGAAACACTTTCTATTTCAAATTTTGATAGAGAATTTTTGCATTCACTCATTTTTCTAGATGATGCGGTGAAATCAAAACTAATAACAAATGAGAAATCATATTTTAATCAGTTATTAACTCAATGTCGACACATTCAGTGTTCATTCTTCATGGCTGTTCAATACTTCAAAGCATTAAGCACAAACATTAAATCAAATCTATCAACACTTTTCATTTTCAGTGGTTTTAGTCGTCAACAGTTGAACGTTATGCTTTATCAAGTGAATTTACCAATGAGCATTAATGAACTTTACACACAATATCAGCAATTAGGTGAACATGGAAAAATAATAGTTGATTTAAATAAAGGATGTGTTAAATTTGATTAACTTTTTATAATTAATTTTTATTTTTTATTTATAATTAAACATGACAGAAATAGCAAATCTTCTACAGGTTCCATTAAAACAAGGGACAAACAAAAAGGGGTGCATATAATAGAACTATGAAAGTTCCAGACGGAATGAAAGAATTAGTTCATATTGTTGCTGGTCTTCAAAAAGATGTTAAACAAATGAGAAACGTTTTAACATTACCAGAAGCTCAAGCATATGCCAAACGTCATGGTCCAAATTGGGAAGCACATGAAGCAGACATTACAGGTCCAAATGGAAAACCTGATGGTATAAATGAAGTTTTCGTTACTGATGGTCGAGGTAATATTAAAGTCATAAATGGTTACAAATTAACTGTATCTGATTATCCTAAACGTAAAGCATATAATGAATGTTATCCTATGCAATTTGATGAAAATGGAAAAGCTGTTAAACAATACATTGGAGAAGGTGAACATGGTCCAATTAATTCATACCGTCATAATCCATATTCTTATTTCAATGAAGAATTAAACGCTATTGAAGAAGGACCGGATGGATTACCACGATATGTTAATCAGTTTGATGGTCAATATGCAAATTTGAGACCTGAAATTCCAGCTAAGAAATTCTTTAAAGTT